AAAAAAAAAAAAAAAAAAAAAAAGACCTCATATCTGCCAACTTTTCCGTCTGAGTCCAGCCTTTAGCCCTGTCCTGACTCAGGGGGCAGATGGAGCCGGTTCTGGGGGGAGTCTGGCCCACATTGTGACCTCCGTCTGGGCCCGGAGAAGTTCCTTCCAGAGATAAACAAAAAAGGAACGACCAGTACCCGCGGGCCCACTGGCAGCCGATGTAAATGTGTGTAATTTGCTACACGAGGCTGGCCGGGCAGCTAATAGTAGCCAGACGAGAGGGCTGAGCCAAACAACCGGACCACTGATAGTGAGAGACAGCGAGAGGAGGCAGATAACAGCAAACGGGGGGCGGATAAACCCAACGAAAAACCCAAAAAGTTGATCATCTCTGGAGGTTTTCTGAAGAATGGCGGAAAAAGCCGAGCTCAGAGTGGCTTTTCGTACCTTTAACCAGAAAAAAGGGAAATGTTTTCTATAAAAACACGGAAAACTCCCACACAGTCGGCCTTTAACGCCTCCAGCTCCAATTTAGACGAGTTCCACCTTAAATGACAAACAGTTTATATATTCATACCCTGAAAAACAACCGAAAACCGACTCATTTGACAGTTTTAGCTTTAAAGAAAGCCTGTTTCTCGCTTCTTTTCTTTGCAAACCTAATAAACGTCGCCTTTTGCTCCTCCTCTGAGCTTAAACTTCACCCATTCGCCGGAACAGTTTGAGGTGAATTTGCATTTAGTGAATCGTTGTTTGGCAGCATGTCACCATTTTTGCATTTGTATTTAGTGAATCGTTGTTTGGCAACATGTTCAGGCAGGACTTTGTGTTGTGGACGCATTGTGTCGTGCACACGCTGCAAACCGCGGATGGTCTTGCAATGTTTACTGTGGTGACACATTTTTCTTTGGAAAAAAACTCTCTGCGGCAGTTAAAACGATGACTGTGCTCTGGAAAACTTCCTTTTTTTGTTTTTTATATGACAGATTGTATGAAAGGCGGATTCCAAATATCAATGTGGTATTTAAACCCCTTTTAAACATAATTAACCTTCATTTTGGCTCAGTCTGAATGGCTGGACATATAATTATGTTATTTTAAAAGCATCTGCTATTTTAAAAGCGTCTGCTAAATGCATAAACATGAACTTAAACACATTTTAAACACTGCTCCACTAATATCTGTGCTCCCACGGACCATTTATTCCCATAATATGTGATCTAGCTGAAGTGAAGCTATTCCTGGAGCTCCGATAATGAATTTTATTAGATGTTTTTCACTCTGTTTGTGTGGACAATAATTAAGTTTCTGTCCTCTGAAACTTAATTTAAATGGAAACAACCAAAGCTGAATGAGGGCTGAGTTCAGGTGTTTTGAGGTACATTACATAAGAGTTACATAAGAGCTACATTTCTGAAAGAAGGAGCTCATAGCACCTGTCAAAAAAGACAAAAGGGTGGATCAGAACAAAAAAAAATGGGATGGTTAGATGGAAATATTACAGCTTGAAAATACTGAGGGTTTGTAGCATCAACAGTGTGAATCTAAAGTGATGTTGGACACTTTTAAGCAGCAGCTTTTGGGAGGAATGGGGACCTCTGCAGATTTTCCCTTTAAATCCCAGATGTTTGTGCCTCTGTGGCCTGAGTCTGGGTTTACCTGATCCAGGTCCTGGATCTGTGCACGGAGTTATGAGACCATGCAAAAAGTTGTAAAGCTAAAGATAAGAACAGCTTTTAAACATTTTCCAGAAGTCTTTTTACTCACAAAGAGGCTACTTTTAGAGGTAATGGAGGCTTTATGGAAATTCCCAAAATTCC